GATTTGAAAAGTGTGTGTGTGGTACTGATTTGGGGGGGGCGTTGTGTGTGCATAAAAATCTATGAAACGATGTGTGTAGTGCCGATTTGGGAATGAGGGGTGGTTTTAACTTCATATGTAGCAGATTTAACCCTGCTCATGAAGTCGCCTGTGTTGACACACCCGCACGGGTTTAAATTTACACAAGCCCTTTACTGCAGCTGCTGCTTTCCTACTGCCCCGCCCCCTGAAGAAGTCCGTCCAACCCCGGGAAAAGCCGGGCGGGCACCGCACACGGTGCGCCCCTCCGCTCGAGGGCAGGGAGCCCCAGGGCCCGCCCTCTCCAGGTCGGCCCTGCGCGGGCGGCTGCAACTACAGCTCCCGGCGAGCCCCGCAGCTGTGGAGCAGGCCGGGCCCGGGCGCGCGCGGTACGCCGGGAGCTGTAGGCCCTGCGAGAGGTCGCAAGGCGGGCCGGGCGCCACGTGATAGCGGGGGAGCCCCGCGCTGATTGGCTGCGGCGGGGAGCGCGAGAGCTTCCGGGGCCCCGGGCCGGGCTGCTTGTTTGGATGCTTCCGTCACATCATGGCGACGCGCGGAGCCGAGGCAGCGCGCGGCGGCGGCAGCACCAGCACCAGCAGCACAAGCCGTGCGGCGGGGGCGGGACCTGGGCTAAGGCCGGGCCGACGCGAGGCAGCCGCAGTTGGCGCGGGGCCGCCCAGCAGCGCGGAGGTAACGGCTGCTTGCGCGCCGTTAGCCTTTCCCGCGCGCCCCTCCCCCACCCGCACCCTGCGCGGGGCTCCGCTTCTGGGGCTGCGGCGCGAGGGGAGCACGTGCCCCTTCCCGCCCCCCTTCCTCCGCCCCCAGGCGGGCAGCGCCGGAGCCAGGCTGGGGTTATGGTGGGCGCGGGGCGGGGGTTACCGCGAATTAGCCCTGGGGCAGGGAGCGCTGCTCGGCTCTTCGGAGCCGGGCCGGCCGAGGGTAGCGGGATCTGGAGTAGGAAGTGCGCTCTGGTGCCTGGTTTTCCTTTGTTTTGGGCAGCCAGGGGGTCTGCATCTGTAGGCAGTGTCGTTCCCACCCCCACTGTCCTGGGAAAATGAAGGACCTGGGTTTATTTAGTATGGGGAAGAGAAGACTGAGGGGATTTAATAGCAGCCTTCAGCTACCTGAAGGGGGTTGGAAAGAGGCTGGAGCTAGACTGTTCTCAGTGGTGGCAGATGACAGAACAAGGAGCAACTGTCTCAAGTTGTATCACAGGAAGATTAGGTTGGCTATGAGGAAAAACTGTCACTAGGAGGGTAGTAAAGCACTGGAAGAAGCTACCCAGAGAGGTGGTGACCTTTCCATTCTTGGAGGTTTTTAAGCCCAAGCTAGACAAAGCCTTGACTGAGATGATCTAATTGGGGACAGTCCTGCTTTGAGCAGGGGTTGAACTAGATGACCTCCAGAGGTCCCTTCCAAACCTAACTTTCTATGGCTCTATAAAAATCTTACTCCTGTTGCCAGCCACTTCTTCACACATTCATTTTATTTTCCCCCTGGCCTCTACCGAAGCAGCCGGGATGCTGCCAACCTTGAGAAAGCAAAGTTACAAGGCTTGTTTTAGAAGTGCTCCCCAGTAAAGGAGTCACGTTGAATTGAGTAATGGGAAGGCGTTGCCAAAAGTACCGGGCTTGTGTCTTCACCTTTGGAATGTGACCTGCGAATGAGAAAGCAAAGCCATTTCCTTGTAGTGGGTGGGAGGCTCCACGCTGTGCTTGGGTGCTGTTTTGTTTGGTCTGGCCTTAGAAACGTGGGGCTTGCCTGCTTTTTTTCCAGAAAGGTCCATGGATGGATGGAGAGCAAGTAGGGTTATCATAAAAACAGAAGTGGAACCTGATTGAAGGGAAGTGAGTCATATTGTTCAAATGTGTTTTTGTCTCACGTAAGTAGCTAAGTAGGAGATTAGTTTGTTAAACATTCAGTGCTTCATCTCTCAATTAAGGTCTAAGAATTCAAGTTCTCTGGGTCTTCCAGAAAAACCTTTGGCAGATTTCCTCCCAGAGAGCTTGAATTCTGAGATCTTTGTATTGCATAAAAAAGATGGCACAAAGCCCATTTTTCCTTTGCAGGTCAGCTTTACATGTGCGGATTTGAAATACAAATGTAAGTGAATTTCAGTAAGTGAATGAGTTCATGTCAAAAGGGCTGTCAGAGAAAAAAAACATACGTTTTGTAGGCCACAGAGGAAATAAGATCTTGTAAAAATGTATTTCCAACAAGCAGAAAGTTTCAGAGGATCTCTGTCAGCCTACTTTGGATCAAAGAAGTGCTTAGCTAGGGGGGGAGAAAAACTGCCTTTTAATCAATTCTGAAATGTCTTCCTGTTAGGGTTATGTAAATTACCAACATATCGGGAACCTGGATGTGCTCCTGATTATAAACAAAAGTGAAATTGCCTGTTTTCTTTTTTTGGATTAATTTGAGAAATCAAAGTAAATCACACAAATACAATGTAGCATTTTTTTTTAATTTTACATTCAGTGGTCTAAGCACAGGAGCATGATAGGTTGGAGTATAGTTGTTTGGAATACAGTTTTTCAAGCATAGTCAGTTGGCCACATCCGAGGAAGTCTGTTTTTTAAAGAAAAACCATTGGGTATAAATAATACTACCATGGTCATAATAATTTAATCCAATTAAGTGTTAGCAATAGAACAGCCCTAAAGAGAACATTGCAAAAAGAGAGCTGCAATAAACTGGTTTTATATTCCCTTGCCTTGTGATAAGTTGGTGACATGAGATCACAGAACAAAAGTTTTGTTTCCATAAATTTTCAACTTAATTTTTTTGTGCATCCTATATTTATATTAAAAATATGTAGGTGAAATTGCCCTTAAAATTGTTGGCACCTTGAAGGTAACTCCTTTGTGTAACCTGAATATTTACAATGGTGTTAGATGATTTTTAACTGTCTACATTAGGGAAAAAGAGACATTTAACATCTTGTTTGAACTTATTTTGGATAAATCAAGTCACAGTTCTCACATGTTAATAAATCAAGGTTATAGCTGGGTAAAGGAAGCATAGGGTTTTTTACCATCTCTGTAATGGGTGATTAATATTTACCTACCTTTTCACACTAGATTTTAACATGGCTAACACATGGTAAAACTACTGCTTGCCCCCTCTTCCCCCGCCCCATCATCTTTAGTATGATGGGGCACCTGGATATTCTGTACTCAGGAAACAAGTACAGAAGGGTTGAAGACAGGTGTGGTCAACTGAGCAATATCCTTCAAGCATGCCTTCATTGTTTGGACTCTGATGTTTACCTGTTGGCTTTAGTATTGCTTATGTTGAAGTTCTTGCATACCTATTCGATAATCATACATTTGAAAAAATCTTGTGGGCCTTCTGTTTTTAAGAACATTCAATATCTGGGCCTCAGCCCACAACAGCATCTCAGCTTTCTGAAGGCTAAAACTAACCTTTAAAGTTTCACTATCAGTCAACTTGGTAACAATAATTTTAGCAGAAATGTAAAACTATTACAGTACTCCACCTTCTTTGGTTGGAGTGACGAGTACTAGTCTGTTGTGGGCTGGGTGCCCTCAAGTGCTGGTGCAGTGGGGAAGTAGTATGTATAGACAGAGATATGTATAAAGTGTATTTTTGTGTACTATGTGGTGTCTGTGCTCATGAAAGTCAAACATCTGTAGGCTGTATTATAAATACTAAAACAAGATTAAATGATCAGATTTGTTCCATACTGTCAAATGTATCTGGGTGACCTGTGTGTTCTAACAGGGTGTATTGATGTTTGTGTTCAAACAGTGCTGGAAGAAATAGAAACAAAACTTATGTAGGTTTTGTGGTCCATGACAGTTTCCAGTGATAGTGTACCGTAGCCTACAGTGAAGACAGAAGCAGGGAGAGATTGTAGGTCCTGAAACAAGGTCTGGAGCGAATATACTTATTCAAAGAGACGTCATGGGTTTTAAAACACTAATCTGATTGCCTTGATATTGGATTGTAGTGAGTATCACAAATAAGCAAGTAAAGAAAGGTATCTTCTTGTTGCCTCTTTTTTTTTAAACCTCTGGCCACAAAAGGGGATAATTGAATTGGTAGAAATAAAGGCTGATCTCTTTTCACCATACCACTCAGTTTACATCTCATTGAAAACCTCAGAGATGGATGGCTGCATATCAGAGAGACCTGAAATGATGATATTTGTAGGGAGGGCTTGTAGAGCCCTTTAACATGAAAGTATCTGTGATGTGAAACTGCTCAGATTTTGGATTTTATTCCCTATTTTTCAGTGAAATGATCAAAATTCAACACTTTTTAAATGTTAGCTTGTACAGGCATGCTTCTGTCAATGATAACAGGTGTTTTTAATGTAATTTCCCTATTTCTCTTGCAATTTAATAAATATTCGTAATGGTTAAAAACATTCTATATCTTAATTTTTCATTCCAGGCCTTCAGGTTAGAAATTTAATTAGACAAGCATCTTTTAGCCTTAAAGTCAGTTTTGTGGCCAATTGTTTTGGACTGCCAATTACACAAAATAAAATAGGGTACTTTTAGCTTGGAATAGATGACCTCTAGAGGTCCAGTCAAGTTGTACTTTTCTATTATTCTGTCTGGCTATTAAGAGGTTATGCTAATGACTTGTAAAACCATTTTTTTCAGTAATAGAGTTCTAGAACTTGAGTATAAGGACACTAGTATAGATATCTCTCCTCAAGTAGTAAACCTGAATTAATACTTTTTGTTATATTTTTAATTTTATAAGTGGGGAAGAAAATAGAAATAATGGCATCATGAGTATGTAAATATCATCAAATGATCTTGGTGGAAATAAGACACTTTAAAAATACTTTTTTTTTGACCTTTTGTTCTTGACTCTTCAGCTTAACATTGAAAGCAGGTTAGTCATTCTCTATTTTTTTAAAATGCATGTGGCTCCTCGCTGCTCTAGATCACATGCATCAAATGCTTTCAGATTTTACAAATCCAGAAATTAACTTCACTTTTTACTAACCCCTCCTTTGTATATCTTAACTAGCCATCTTTTTCAGAACACTGAAACTATCCAATTTTGATGTTGCCTATCTATTTACAGAGAACCCATTTATTACTTAGATGAGCTCAATTTTGGACTTGAAAATGCTGCTCAGTGTCTAGGGGTGACAGCAGTTTTTAAGTAAGGATGCATATTTTAGATCCCTTGTTTCGGGGGGGACAATGCACAAATGTTAAGGCTGAAACAGGTTTATTTTTTAATAGTCCTGCTGTTGCCGTCCTGTAATTCTGACCATTCATCAAATGTGTTTTCAAACATGTTGTACAATAGGGTCACACTTTGTTGAAGACCCCGAGAATAGCATACCTTGCTTCTCTCATTCACTAACAGGTGCAGAGCAATGTAGATAGAAATCAATAATTTACTGACTTAGAGCAGATGCATTATTGCACAATTTTCAGGAAGATCTTTTTCTTCATCTAGACTGTACTTCTGCCTTACACTGCTATTTAATACATGCATAATTATTAGAAAGCTATAAGGTATTGTGGAACTCTTATGTTTGCAAAGAGTCTCTCTGCTCTTGGATGAGGAATGAGTGCCATAACTTTGACTTATGAGTAAATGAAAACTTTGTGTTTTAAAATGATTAGATTTTATATTACAATATAATGTTTTTGTTTGTTCATTAAAATAAATCTCAACTAACTTCTGTTTATGACAAGTTTGGTGAAGTTTAAATAGTTTGAATAACAACTGTTATTCATTTGAAAGTGTTTTGTTACATGTATGTAGTTTAAACCTGTTATTTATTAGTTTAAACTAATATAAAAGATATGCAATTAGAACAAAAATGAGTTTGCACTCATTTTTGCAACCCTCAAGTCTTTTATAACAATGGGTTTAAGATCACAATTTAAAATTAAGCCAATATGCATGTAAGATCTTTAAAAATGTGGAAGGAGACGTATACTCTTACAAAAGAGTACGTGATCAGTCCTCCTCAAACTGTCGCCCTAGTGAACTGAATCTAGGCCAAGAGGGACCTCTTGGGCTGGACCTGCCAGTGTGGAGGTTAACACAGCTGTTGCTTGTGCTTCTTCCCCATCCCCCAACACATTGGTTTCTGTTGCTTGGAATCCGGCAGCAGAACCTGGACCCATAACCAGCCAGCACCAGTGAAATGGTTCTGCAAACTGGGTATGCCAGGTTGTGTGATCGTTTAGGGAACATCTACATTGCTACCACCCTGACATATATGTGCGGTGGTTTTCATTTTTGGTAAGCCCTTTATCACTTAAATAAAAACCCTACCTATCTACATAGTAGAAGTGGTTCTTAATTATCTTGAATTTTTTTTAATGGTTGAGAGAGCAGTTGCATTTAGAGTTTTGTCTGAATGCTTAATTTCTGACAGAATAACATCTACCACCAATTTCCCAAATACTGATATTTTTTTTTCCTCTTTTCCCCCACCCCGCTTTCTTTTAGTGTGTTTCTTTTTATTTTGTTAATTATTTGTAGTATTTAAGTGTTAAACTTTTAATTGTACCTAAAACTAATGTATTATAAAGTGGCTATCAGTTGTGAATAGGGTTGTACCAATAAAGATTTTCTTGGCCGATACCAATAGCCGATTATTAACCAGCTGTATCAGGCAATACCAATCTGATAGCTGATTTACATAAATTAAACCTTTTTTGGTGCGCTCGAGCAGTCTCCTACATCACGTGTATCAGTGTCCCAGCGTTTAAAAATGGTGGTGGAACGCTTGAACTTAAGCTTGTCAAATGAACTTTAATTCATGCACTGCTGCCACCATTTTTAAGCATAGGGACACTTTTAAGCAAAGCGAGGCAAGGGCAGATATGGACTGCCCGCTGTGGGCTCGGGGCTTTCTGCCCTCCTGCCTTTGCCCCAGTAGCTCCTTGCCAGCCGTGTGTCCCCTGCCCGCTCAGCAGTGGGGGCATAACTCGCCACCCCCACTGCTGACAGGCAGGCAGGGGGCACACGGCCAACACAGGGCTCCTGAGGGAAAGGCAACAGAGTTGAGAGCCCACAGTTAGCATCCTGCATCCACCCCATGCACAAAGCTGGTGGGGCCCAGGCCTCTCCTGGGAGGGGTGGGCGCACAGTGGTGGGGAGCAGCCCCCCACATCCCGTGAATGAATCACTTGTGGCTCTTTCCTGCTCCCCTCCCCTGGATCCCATGTACCACCCTGGCTGGGTAGTGCCCTCTACCCCACTCCCTCCCTCACTGTGGGGGCCTCAATATGCCCCCTCCCACATACCCCTGCCCTCCATAGACCTGCCTTCAGGGAGCTGCTCTCTACGCTGCCCAACTGTATTCCTGGCCATGTGCGTGTGTGAGGCTGCACACATGCATGCAGTGCCTCCTGCATCTTGCTCCTGGTAGCCCCAAGTAGGACCGCTTGCAGACTAGAATGCTGCCCACCTGCAGGGAGAAACCCGCTGTTTCCTGAGGGAACCCAGGCATATGGGGGCCCCAGCCCCACAGGTGAAGGGAACCCAGGTGTCCAGGGCCCTGGTCAGAAGGCATAATTATCAGTAAACATTATTGGTTACAATGGCCAAAAAAAAGCCATAGCCAGTAATATCATTTCCCTGTCTATCAGTGCCGATCCAATAGGCTACCAGTATATCAGTGTACCTCTAATTGTTAAAGTTCTTTTTGCATTTGCTGTGGCCATAAAGGAACAGGATGTCATCTAGATATACCATATCTTAAGCTTATATATCTCAAAAATCTGTGATGGTGGTAGTTAAGTATTCAAGAGCATATAATATGATTCAGTAAACTAGAAAAAAAATACTCTGGTTGTTAGGGGTCAGAACTTGTGCTTCTAAAATGTCATTGTACATAGAACATAAAAACTGTTTTTGAATTTAACTGTTTTTGGACTTAGTAATTCCTAGGTCTACACGTTGAGTATAGAGTGCTAGATGGTTTGTGATTTCTCTTAAAGTTCTTCAAGTATGCTCCAAACATAGTGTTATATTTGTAGATTACCTTAAAATTCCTTCATTTATCAGGGGTACTTTGCATTTAAGATTCTGTTTACTTTTTCAACTGGATCAGCTATTATATTTACTCTAGTACAGTAATCAGAACTAGTTGCATCTTTTTAATATTTAACAGTTGATGTAAAAATCAAAGGTTAGTATATAACTCAGAGCTTCTAGAATGAGAAGCTACTGCAGCTAATTCTTAATTTGATTAATCCATAATATAATGATCTTTCAGTGTCATTCTGTATGCCACTTTGCTTGCATGGTTTTTGGTTGTAGCCGTGTTGGTCTAAGGCAGTGGTCTTCAGCCTTTTTAAAGTAAAGATCATTTTTTGAAGTAAAGGGGCAACCCAGGATCTACTATTT